GACAGGAAGAGTTAGTGAGAGAAAGAGACAGACAGAAAGGTCTTCCTTCCGTTGGTTCACTCCCCTAATGGCCGCCACGGCCGGCGCGCTGTGCTGATCCGAAGCCAGGAGCCAGGTGCTTCCTCCTGTTCTCCCATGCAAGTGCAGGGCCCAAGCACTTGGGCCATCCTCCACTGCACTTCCGGGCCACAGCAGAGAGCTGGACTGGAAGAGGGGCAACTGGGATAGAATTGGCGCCCTGATTGGGACTAGAACCCGGTGTGCCAGCGCCGCAGGCGGAGGATTAGCCTAGTGAGTCGCAGCGCCGGCCTAAAAATTATTTTTCTTTTTTTTTTTTTTTATTTTTTTTATTTTTGATAGGCAGAGTGGACAGTGAGAGAGAGAGACAGAGAGAGAAAGGTCTTCCTTTGCCGTTGGTTCACCCTCCAATGGCCGCCGCTGCAGCCGGCGCACCGCGCTGATCCGATGGCAGGAGCCAGGATCCAGGTGCTTTTCCTGGTCTCCCATGGGGTGCAGGGCCCAAGCACCTGGGCCATCCTCCACTGCACTCCCTGGCCACAGCAGAGGGCTGGCCTGGAAGAGGGGCAACCGGGACAGAATCCGGTGCCCCGACCGGGACTAGAACCCGGTGTGCCGGCGCCGCAAGGTGGAGGATTAGCCTGTTGAGCCACGGCACCGGCTTAAAATTATTTTTCATAAATTGACTGTAACTGTGTGAAGTGCAGAGGAAAAGTGTCGGCAGTAGGTACACCGAGAGGCTAACATGAGTGCCTTCGAGTGACTGGTGTGGCTTTGTCTCCCCTTACTGCTCCTTTATGCATCTTCCAAATTCTCCACCGTGAATACTTCCATTGCAGTCGGAAGAGCACAGACGTTGCTCAGACACGGTTCAGCTTTCAGCAGCGTCCAGGCTGTCTGGCAGCAACTTGTCCTACCAGAGCCCCAGCCCGGACAGAAAAGGAAGCGTCTTTTTACTCTAGAGCTAAAAACATGACGACGCCGTAAAACCGAAAGAGCCTCATTAATCGGTCCGCCCGTCTCTGGTTCCCCTAGTCCTCCGAGAACATTCCACCAGGCTACGAAGTGGTGTCTCTCCTGGAGGCGCTCAATGGGCCCCTCACCCCATCCCCAGCAGTGCCTGCGTTGCACATGCGTGGAGACGGCCACCTCTCGGGAATGCTGCCCTCCTACGGCAGCGACGGCCACCTGCCCCCCGTCAGGACGCTGTCCCCGCTCGACCGCCTGTCTGACTGCAGCAGCCAAGGCCTCAAGCTCAAGAGGAGTCTGTCCAAGTGAGTGGCCGGCACTCGGCTGTGTCGCCCCGGGAGCCCCGGTGCCATCCCAGCTGCCCTTGCACTCCTGGGTGCCAGGGACCCTCCGGGCTGCAGCGTAGCTGCTCCGGCTAACGGAGACCTGCGGTGAACCGGGCGGGGGAGGTGCACATTAGGCGGTGGGCAAGTGCAGGCACCTGAGAGACAAGGAAGCGGCCACTGGGCACTGTGCACGGGGCCGCTCAGCCCCACCCCACCCCGGGCCACAGGGAGCGAGCCCCTGACCGGGTCTCTGGAGGCCCTTAGCGTGAGGCCTCTGTGGCAGTCGGGGAGGGTATTCTACTGGGCCCATGAAGACGTGGGTCATTGCTCCCGAGCTCAGGCCTTAGCAAGTCACCCAAGGGGCCAAAGGAGAGCCTGGCGTTGCTGACCCCACACGGGGCCACGGTCCCTTCCTGGCCTCACCCCAGGATTCAGGTTTTTCCCTCAGTTCCTTCCAAGTGCCCGCGTCCCGGGAAGTCTGAGTGAGGAGAGCCCAGCGGGGCCCTGCCTCAGGTGGGAATTGGCCGCCGCTGTGTCCCCTGTGCACGGACAGGTCCGTCTCCCAGAGCTCCTCGGTGCTGCACGAAGAGGAGGACGAGCGCTCCTGCAGCGAGTCGGAGACGCCGCTCTCGCAGAGACCCTCGGCCCAGCGGCTGCGAGAGGTGAGTGCACCCTTCCCCTCGCCTGGGCGCTGGCCTCCAGGCGCCGTCCTCCGCCTGCCTGCCTGCCTCTCCGGCTCCATCCACTCCCATGCCTTCATCCAGCACTTGCCGATAGCGGCAAAGGCCTGGTAGCTGCACGTACCACTTGGCAGGCACGGCCGCCGTGCTGAGCCGGTAGCGGGAGCGCCGCACTCTGCCCACGGCACTTACACGCTGGCTGGTCGGGTGGGAATAGACACGAAGGACGTCCAGCACAGGAAGTGTCCTGGGCATCTGGGACACAGGAACAGCAATGCAAGACCCTGGGGTGTGCAGGGAGGCCAGCGTGGTCGATGGCGGAGGGCTGGCCCGTTCTACCCTGTGGTCCCCGTGGACTCGACTGGACAGAAGTTTGCTGTCCTCCTGCTCTGGCAGGGCACACACAGACTTTGCTCGGTGGCCCAGGCCTCAGGAGCTCAGCTCTAGCTGGGACGGCACCGTGTGTGGCCCATTGCTACGGCTCAGTATTGGTCAGGTGACCGCATGAGTGAATCATTGGATTTAACTGAGAGACCCCAAAAGTGTGCAGCAGAAGTGCAGCCGGTGACACGAAGTGGGAGGAGTCAGAGCAGACGTTGCCAAGGAGCAGCGCTTGGGCCGAACCTTGAAATGTTTTAGCCGTGAGAGAAGCATGCAGATGGAGAGGATGGCGTGGGCCGGCGCTGCAGGGCGCGCTCACCTGCCAGGTGTGCAGGGTCCCCCAGAAAGGGCGAGGGGAAGTGCCTGCGCTGGGCCAAGGGGGGGGGGGCAGGGGGCAGAGCCAGCACAGCCATGCAGCCTCCTGGGACGGAGCCGGGGACAGCCGGGGAAGAGGCGCAGGGCCGGGGTGGGGGCAGGGCCCAACTGTTCTGGATGGATTGAGCCGGAACTCACCGGATGCCCACACAGACCTGCCCACAGCCAGAGAGGCCCCTGTGGAAGCTGTTGGTGATGCTGGGGAAACCTGGGGCGTCCCCCCACCGTGTCCCAGCTGCTGGGTGACCTGCGTCACCTGAGCTGCGGTCTTTGTGAGGCCCCAGCAGATGCTGTGCCCCGAGCCGGAGGTGCTGAGTGAGGCTGGCTCCTCCCCGGATCAGCCATGCGGGCCCCGGCCGGCCACAGAGACGCCTGGCACGTGGTGCCTGACCACGGGGGACCCTGTCCCTCCCCGTGTCTTGTTGCTGACGTGTGCTGTGTCCCCCGCAGCCCCAGGAATGTGGTGTGACCCCCGAAAGTGAGAACCTCACCTTGTCGTCATCGGGAGCCATCGACCAGTCGTCTTGCACAGGGACGCCGCTCTCTTCCACCATCTCCTCCCCCGAAGGTACAGGAGGGGGCGGGGCAGCTGCACGTCCTGCCCTGGCACCGCCTCTGGGCGCGCGGCTGTCTGATGAACAGGCCCCACTGGAGGGGGCGGGCGGGGGGCCTGCTCTCCTCCTGGGAGCTGGGGAGAAGCGGGCTCTTGGTCCCTCTCCTGGGCTCTTGGTCCCTCTCCTGCCCCCGGAAGATTTCCTTTAGCTGTGACAGGGGAAAGCAAATCCCTGGGCCCTGAGGTTGAGTTCCAGATCTCAGGAATCGTTCAGTCTTGTCTGGGGAGGGCGGCTCAGCTCCCTGCACTGCACTGCCGGAGCTGGCGGGGGCTCGGCCTGACACCACCTCCTTCTCCCAAGACCCCGCCAGCAGCAGCCTGGCCCAGTCTGTCATGTCCATGGCGTCCTCCCAGATCAGCACCGACACGGTCTCCTCCATGTCCGGCTCCTACATCGCCCCCGGCACCGAAGAGGAGGGAGAGGCTCTCCCGTCCCCCCGGGCTGCCAGCAGGGCCCAGTCAGAGCAAGCAGAGGTAAGGGAGGACGGCCCCACTCGGCCTGGCTTCCCTGGGCTTTGCATGAGTGTCCAGAGTGGCTCAAGAAGGCATCTGCCGGGGCTGCCCGCAGAGCCCCAGAGGGCTCCAGAGGAGTCCCGAGGGGCCGGCCTGGCCTGGGATCAGACCCTCAGGCGTCAGCGGACTTGCTGGGCCCCGCGGTGGCTCTGCACTCCGCGCCTCTGGTAACCGTGGCCTGGCCTTTGGTGCTCTTTTGCAGGGGACGCCAGCAGAGTCTCCGGAGAGCAACTTCGCCGGCCTCCCAGCGGGAGAGCAGGACGCAGAGGTGAGCGGCCGCAGACAGCAGGACGGGCCGCTGAGGCTGGCTGGGGGTCCAGCAGCGGCAGGGGGCCGGCACTGGAGCTTCCCGGGTCAGTGAAGCGTGTGGGCAGAGCACAGCGAGCCACACTCTGGCCGTGGACTGTCCCCTTAGCAGGGCGCTGGCCCCAGCCTGATCCGTGTGGAGTGAGTTCAAGAGGGAACTTGGCGTGCCAGACTGGACCTTGTGGGTCATCGGTGAACATTTAGACCACAAATGTGCCAAGGGTGTCCCTCCGGCACTGGGCACACCCAGAACTGAGGGGCACGGGTCCCACCTGCTCTCTGCCCCCACCCCTGCCCCGCCGCCTCCAGGAGCCCTGTGCGTGGCAGCAGGATCAGGGTGCAGTGTGGGAAGGACCCGGGCCTTGCTTCCTGACTGCTCATTCCGAGCACACAGAAGGAACCTTGAGGAAGTCCACGGAGGGGCAGGCATTTGGCTCAGCAGTTCAGCTGCCCGCATGCCCAGGTTCAAGCCCCACTCTGCTTCCGCCGGGTACGCTGGGAGGCAACAGTGAAGGCTGCAGCTCTTGCTCTCTGCCGCCCTCCTCAAGGCCCGGGGGGAGATCAGCCTGCCCCGTCCCCGCTGTCACGGCGTCTGGGAGTGACCAGCGGACACAAGATGTCTCCTTCCCTCTCTGTCTCCATCTCCCTGTTGCTCTGCCTTTTGAATAAATAAAATGGTAACCTTTTTTATTTATCTGAAAGTCAGAGTTATACAGAGAGGTGAGGCAGAGAGAGAGAGAGAGAGAGAGAGAGAGAGAGAGAGAGAGAGAAAGTCCTCCATCTGATGGTTCATTGCCCAGTTGGCCACAACGGCCGGGGCTGCGCCGATCTGAAGCCCGGAGCCAGGATCTTCTTCTGGGTCTCCCATGTGGGTACAGGGGCCCAGGGACTTGGGCCATCTTCCATTGCTTTCTCAGGCCACAGCAGAGAGCTGGATGGGAAGTGGAGCAGCCAGGACTCAAACCAGCGCCCATATGGGATGCTGGCGCTGCAGGCTGGGATTTTAACCCACTGTGCCACAGCGCCGGCCCCAAATGGTAACTTTTTTTTAAAAGTTTGTGGAAAATCCGCATTATGAAAATCTACATGGATTTCAAATTTTTTGCACCAAAATAAATGGTGTTTGAGTTCCACCTTTCCCTGGACTGTCTGAAGTGCCCTGACTTCTGGAGTGTGGCTTAGACCTGACGGTGCCTCTCCCCAGCAAACCCAGCGCAGGAGTTGGGCTGTGGACGTAGGCCCTGGCGCCGGAGTCCACGGGGACGACAAGTTCTGTCCACAGCTGACAAATCCTCTTGTGGTGCCGCGGCACAGACTCACGGCGTCTCCTTGTATTCTAGGGTAACGACGTCATAGAGGAAGAGGATGGCTCACCAGTGCAGGAAGATGGTAAAAGACCCGGTCCTTTGCCCCCCACCGTGTTCCCTGCTGAGTATTCTTTAAGGGGCGATGCTATGACTTGGGGGCCTGTCGGGCTGTGTGACTGTGGGGCAGGGACTGGATGTGGCCACAAGCCCCGCTCCTCCTGGGCCCCAGCCAAGGGTGTCAGGGAGGGGGTGCAAAGGGCACTGGCTCTTCACTTCTGCCTGCTGGACTGCAGCTCCAGGACGGGGATGGGGGGACATCCATTGCCTGCCCTCCTGCGGCCCCGCCTCCGTGGAGCCCCACCCCGTGTCCCCGCCCGTGGGGCAGCAGGCGCCGCTTCTTCCATTTGGGAGGAAGGGCAGTCCGGCTGCGCGTCCGGTGTTGCCTCAGTGAAGGAAGAGGCAGGCGGAACTGTGCGAGAGGGGCCTCGGAGCCAGCAGGCGCGCGGGAGCGTGGGCAGGCAGCCAGGCGCAGGTCCCCGCGGCAGCCCAGCTGCTCTTCATGGTCAGGCCCGGTTCCGTCTCCAGTCGGAGGAGTTTAGTCTCCAGGCAGCCTGGGGGGTGGGGTGGGGATGCCTGCAGGGCAAGGGGGCTGGAGAAGTCACACCTGCAGGGGAAGTCCCACCTGCAAGGGAACACTACCGGGAGCCGGGAGCCAGGAGCCAGGAGCCGACTCCCTTCCAGCGCAGACACCAGCAGTGCCCTTCCCAGCTGCTTCTACTTCAGCCTGGCCATGGCTGGGGGAGGGCGGGGGAGGGCGCGCAGACTTGACAGCTCCCTCCTGGCTGGGAGTTGGGAGGAGAGGGCGGCTGCCGCGCTTCGGGGTGGCCGATGGCGGGGCCCAAGGCTCTGGAGTTTAGCCTGGTGTGGCTTCCCATGCAACGTCTGCTTCTATGAAGCGCAGGCAGCCGGGCATGTGTTTGCTTTCTCCTCCGTCTCCCGCCAAGAGCAGAACCGCGTCTAGAACTCTCCCCTTCCGCTCTTACGCGTCTGCGGGTTTCTGGGCCGTCACTAAATCGTACTCAAGATGACGACTCGGTCTCACTGAAGTCACGGTTTTGTGAATTCGGTCATTCTGACTCGATACGCAGAACTATGGCGCCTGGGACTTGGAGTTGTCGCTTCCCGCGCTTACCACTCGCAGAGCCTTGTGATCACAGACAGCGAGACCGCCGCGGCACCAGCGGGCAGCCCCGGCTCCCCAGCTTCTCTGGCCCTAGGCTCAGCGGCCCGGCCAGGGCACCGCTGCCCGCCATGGGGCAGCTCCGTTAGCAGCAGAGGGAAAGGGCTCCCCAGGAGACAGGCGGGAGGGCGTGAGGACCCAGACGTGGCAGCCCAGCGATTCCTCTTCTGTCTACTCTTTCCCCACTTAGTTATCGTCTTTTTTTTAACATATGATTTGATTTTTTGTCTCCATCCTTAAGATTTTTATTTTAAGGACAGCAAAGCAGAGAAAAAAACGCAGCCAGCCCCTCTCTAACTGCTTAACTCCTTACAGGCCAGAGGACATGCGCATTTCTAGGTATGGAGTGTGACAATAACAATGACTTTGACATCGCAAGCGTGAAAGCACTGGACAATAAGCCGTGCCCTGAGGCCTGCTTACCCGGTGAGTGGCAGTCTGCTGAACATGAACTTGGTGGGAGACATCCCCCTGCTCTTGCCCCTGCCTGACCCTGGTGCCGTCTCCTGCCCCGCGGCTCCTGCCGAGGAGGCCCAGCCGGAGACGAGCTGCTGCGAGTGGCCGGGCCTCGCCTCGGAGAGCCCTGGAGCTTTTGGCAGAGAGCGACCCTCGCTCTGAGGACCCTGGGGCAGGAAGAAAGGAGCAGAAACTCCTCTCCTTCCAGTTTGGCCTCACAGGCCCCCTTCCGGCAGGATCTTGCCCATGCGTTGTCAGGACATGGACAGGAAGTTAACCAAGC